AGTTCCCTTGGATTGGCAGACCGGGGTGGTGGTCCCCCTATTCAAAAAGGGGGACCGTAGAGTGTGTTCCAACTATAGGGGGATCACGCTCTTAAGCCTCCCTGGTAAAGTCTATTCAGGGGTTCTGGAGAGTAGGGTCCTTCGGATATTCGAACCTCAGATTCAGGAGGAGCAATGCAGTTTTCATCCTGGTCGTGGAACACTGGACCAGCTCTAAACTCTCATCAGGGTCCTGGAGGTTGTGTGGGAGTTAGCCCAACCGGTCTACATATGCTTTGTGGACTTGGAGAAGGCGTTCAACAGCGTTCCTCGGGAAACCCTGTGGGGGGTACTCTAGGAGTGTGGGGTACCGGGCCCTTTGATACAGGCTGTTAGGTCCCTGTATGACTGGTGTCAGAGCCTGGTCCGCATTGCCGGGAGTAAGTCGGGCTTGTTCCCAGTGAGAGTTGGACTCAACCAAGGTTGCCCTCTTTCACAGATTCTGTTCATAACTTTTATGGACAGAATTTCAAGGCACAGCCAAGGTGGTGAGGGGATCCATTTTGGTGGCCTTAGGATTCCGTCTCTGCTTTTTTCAGGTGATGTGGTCCTATTGGCGTCATCAGATCGTGATCTACAGCTTTCGCTGGAGTGGTTCGCAGCCAAGTGCGACACGACCGGGATAAAGATTAGTTCCTCCAAATCCGAGGCCATGGTCTTGAGCCGGAAAAGGGTAGAGTGCCCTCTTCGGGTCAGGGAGGAGGCCCTGCCCCCAAGTGGAGGAGTTCAAGTATCTTGGGGTCTTGTTCACGAATGAGGGAAAAATGGAACGTGAGATCGATAGGCGGATAGGTGCAGCGTCTGCAGTGAAGCGGGCCCTGCACAGGTCTGTCGTGGCGAAGAGAGAGCTGAATCAAAAGGCGAATCTCTCAATTTACTGATCGATCTACGTTCCTACCCTCATCTATGGTCATGAGCTTTGAGAGTCATGAGAGTTGTGACTGAAAGAACGAGATCTCAGATACAAGCGGCTGAAATGAGTTTTCTTCGCAGGGTGTTTGGGCTCTCCCTTAGAGATAGGGTGAGAAGCTCGGTCATCTGAGAGGGACTCAGAGTAGAGCCGCTGCTTTTCCATGTCGAGAGGAGCCAGTTGAGGTGCCTCGGGCATCTGGTTAGGATGCCTCCTGGATACCTCCCTGGTGAGGTGTTCCGGACACATCCCACCAGGAGGAGACCCAGAGGAAGACCCAGGACACGCTGGAGGGACTATGTCTCTCGGATTGCCTGGGAACGCCTTGGGATTCCCCCAGAGAAGCTGGCCCAAGTGGATGGGGAGAGGGAAGTCTGGGCTTCCCTACTTAAGCTGCTACCCCCGCGACCCGACCCCGGATAAGCGGAAGAAAATGGATGGATGGACGTTTCAAAGACCAAAGTCCAAAGCCACCATCTTAGCACCAACATAACTGTTTTTTTCCACTTTGGAGTAAG